GGCCCCAGTAGGTGTGAGATCAGATTCTCAAATTGTCTTCTGGCAAAGCTTGAGTGAGAAATAATAACAAGGACCTGGATTTCAACATGAAAACAAAACTTAGACCCTGAGGACGGTTTGTCTGCCTGGCGTGGTTAATTGGGCCCTGGAGTGAGTATTCCCATGTGAACTCCAGAGCCAGTCTCCCAGAAATATCTCCTACCCTCACTCCCTCAAAACCCATGGCAATAAAGACATTTGGGGATGCATATCTTAGTGGCTGCACAGTTTATTGGTATCTTGGGTGCTGGTTCCCAGGGGAGACCCAGGATGTGTCTTCTGGGACCATCTATTTAGGATCCCCCGTTTGCTTCCGCTGGCATCAGAGGTTTCTGTGGGCAGTGGGCAGCTTTCATTTCTCCAAGATGGTTCTCAGCTTCCTCACAGCTGGCTTGTGCCAGGCCAAGTCTGTGCTCATTCTTATTCCTTGACAACTGTGGAGAAAATCTTGGGTGCTTTCTGACTGTAAAAATTCCACCTTTCAATTTTATTAAATACAGAAGAGGGAAAGGATAGGAAGTGAGTTCCTTATGATCACTAACTGCAGAAAACCCAAAGCAGGTTTTCTTTTTCCTCTAGATGTTGATGATCAAGTGAGTACTGTGTTTAGTACTGTGTTAAGCTAGTACTGTGATGATTAAGCTAGTATTGGGTTTAGTATCTCAAGCAGATAACATCTATGGGCAATTCTATTGTCCAGGTCAGGTAATGGAAAAGTGGCTCAAATGTACATTTATTTTATTTCTGTAACAGTCTTGAGGCTTGAACTCAGGGCTGGGGCACTGTCCCTGAGTTCTTTTTTTTTGCTAAAGGCTAGTGCACTTACCCCTTGAGCTACAGCTTCACTTCTGGCTTTTTGGTGGTTAATTGAAAATATAGAGTCTCACAGACTTTCCTGCCTGGGTTGTCTTTGAACCACGATCCTTAGCTCTCAGCCTCCTGAGTAGGTGGTATTACAGGTGTGGGCCACTAATACTCAGCACAAATGTATGTTTAGAATCAGAGAAAACATCTTCCTATTTCCAAGGGCCAACTAGTAGGGGCTAGAGCAGTTCAGTTACATAATCTTGCCCAGCTATGGGCTCAACATGTGAGCACTGATTGTGGGAGTAGGAGAAAGCCATCTGTCTTGTTGCTCTGACAAGGGAGCTATTACTGCAAACCATGGTGACTGTGTGGGCAGGGTCTGTGTCCATGCTGACATGAATGGAGACCTCCAGGGTGAGAGAAGGAAGTCACCAAAAGATGGTTTGGGTGGTGGAAGGGCAGTATATGCATTGGAGGCATGAATTAAGGGACAGCACGCTGGCCTAAGAAACCCAGAGGCTCTGACTTCAATGCCAGAATAGAAAGATGGTTATTTTGTCAGACCAGCTACGTGGTCGGTTTCACGTCTAAGCTTGTGAAGGCCACAAGTCTATGAAGAGGAATTTCCAGGTAAGAAAAGATTGGGGCTTAAGATGTCCTGGGAACATTTATTAGCATAGAAGACACTGTTAGATTATTCCGTGTGTGTGTGTGTGTGTGTGTGTGTGTGTGTGTACCATGGCTTGAATTTAAGGCCTTGCACTCTTGTTAGGCTTTAATTTTTTTTTTTTTTTTTTGCTCATGGCTGGTGCTGTACCAGCCT